CACCAACTCAGAGGTGTGTACCGTCCCCCATCCTCACCAACTCAGAGTCAATGGACTAAAAATAAAAGGTGGCTGGGTGCCATCCTTCATCATGAACCCTCATGATTTACTCACAACTCCTGTATATAGCCATGTCTAGATGATGTACTACCCAGTGCCAAGAAAATGCTGGGAATATAGCAGTGCCTCCCTTATTGATAAAAGTCTTTGTATGGTGCTACATGTAGATGCTAAACCTGAAAAACAAAACACAAAAACCAAACCAAAACAACAACGAAAAACTAGTCATGGGCTCCATGACTAAAGATACATCCCACTGAGCTTGATGGCTTGATTCTGAAGCTTGAGGGCCTGAATTTGATTCTCAGAATCCTGTCATTAGTCGCAGCTCATACTATGAGATCGAGGGACTTTTACTGGGTGGAATTATGGAAATAAAAGAAGCTGAGTGTGTGTTTCTGGTTGGATAGGAGGGTATCCTGGGACTCAGAAGCCCAGGAGCCGTACAGCTCCTAGGGGAGAAGGTATCCCAGTGGGCGGGCATCATAAGACATGGGGGCCAGGAACCACACGGCTCTGAGGTGGGGCAGTGTCCCAGTGGAATGGTGTCATGAGACACAGGGGCCAGGACCCACACAGCTCTGAGGTGGGGCAGTGTCCCAGTAGAATAGTGTCATGAGACACAGGGGCCAGGACCCACACAGCTCTAGAGGAAGCCTCCTCAGTGGAGCATTGCAGCTTCCAGGGGAGGGTCTCCCCAGCTGAGCTGAGCTCATGAACCTCAGACCTGCTCCTCTTGGCTTCTTCTCTTCATTGCTTCTTTTTTTCTTTGCTTCTGATGAGAGAGTCACACCAGACAGAAAATGTCATGAAACAGATTTATCAGAGGGTCCACGGTGTAGAGTGACAAATCTAGGGATGGCTGTTGTCTGCTCCCAGGAGTAGATGGCAGGGAATCGGACAAAGGAACAGTGTTTATATATTTATATAAGATTTCTGAGGGGGTGGCGCTTCTCAGGGCAGAGATTTCCAATTTCCAGAGTGAGGATTGGTGGGATTTCAAGTCCTGAGCGGGGGAGTGGGGCTATATCAGGGAATTGTGTTTCCTGCTCAGGGATTGGTGGGTTTTGTGGGAAGCTCAAGGATTAGTGGCTTTTTGTCACCCCCCTTCCCCCCTGCATGGGTTAGGAAGGGAAGTCCTTCCTGGCTGCAGCTTGCTTTTGCTGAGGTGCCATCTCTGGGGGGCTGCTGGGGTGAGGGGTGCTGGAGAGGAGGTGTTACCACTGTGGATAGCTCCTGCAGTGGTGTTGGTGTTTTATTAAAGCAGTAGGAGAGGCAGGAAAGAAGGTGTCTCCATCATGGACAGTTCTTGAGGGGCAGTTCTAGCTAAGGTGGAAAAGGAGGTGTGCCACTGTGTTCAGCTCCTGCAGATCATGTGTCCTGTAGGCCAAGGAGATGTTGTGATGCTGCCATTGTGACAGCTGCCATTTTGGACAGCTTCTGTGGGACATTTTACTGCTGTGGCCCTTAGCTTGGGCAGGAAGGAGGGGCTTGCCACTACTTTGATAGCTTTTGTAGCACAGTGATTTTTGTGGTGTGCTGCTCAGGGACTATAGAGTGTATTCAACAGGTGGCACCATGGACTGCTGAAGGACAAGGCCCATAAATCTGCAGATATGTTTTGGGGAAACATTTGCAGGAACTGTAAATGCTAAAATGTCCATATTTCATATAATAGTCCCTCTGCTTTTCCTGGACAGTTAGAACATGTAGACCCAGGTTTCTTCTCACAGACACCCTCCAGTTCATCCCAGTTTGTCCTATGTGGTCCATGTGCCTTTTAAGGCATTGTAGTTTGCAAAACTCTAGAGTAGTAAGGTGATGTCACCATCACCAGGGTGGGTGGACATAGGGACATAAGAAATTGTTGGGATTTTAGGACCTTATGATTCCAAGCTATTCCTGAAAGGTATTTCAGACTATGACCCATAAAGTTTTCTCAGAAACTTGGTCAGGGATCACCCTAGCCATTTGTATTGTGTACATATTGATTTGTTAGACTGTCCATCCACATGGGTCAGAGTATTCTGTTCCCATGAGATAGTCTCTGAGTCTTTATGCATTGTGGGAATTCATGCATAGGACTAGGATAACTGTTAGAAGGGGAGGGAGCCTATTTCAAGTCCTGATGTAAAGTGTAGGAGAAAGAACTGTCACTGAAGTTTGGGAATTGTAGTACCAAGGTTATATCAAAGAAATTCAAGAGCTTTGCTTGAATCTGAGGGGTTATCGTGGTTCAGTCTTATCAGAGGAAAGGGGAACTGTGTGAGAAACACCTCATTATTTTCTGACTATTGTAACTGAATATAACATAATTCATAAACATTCCTCTGTCTGTACCCCATCCCTTTGGGCATTTTTACTGACTTATAAAAAGTCTTTATAGCCTTTAGAAGCTTGCAAAGCAAAGGAAAGTGTTTTCCAACTTTTTGTTCAAATTCGCTCCTGAAGGTGGGTCCCGGAGAAGGTGGTAGTTGGATCAACCAGATAACCGCATAGCTGTGACCCAGACACCTGCTGGGGGAAGACTGAGTCCACAGCACTCTTACCTCACCACAGCCCCTCTCTGTATTGCAGGTTGGTATTGTGGGTCGTACGGGAGCCGGGAAGTCATCGCTCACCCTGGGTTTGTTCCGGATCAATGAGTCTGCAGAAGGGGAGATCATCATTGACGGGGTAAACATCGCCAAGATTGGCCTGCACAACCTGCGCTTCAAGATCACCATCATTCCCCAGGTGAGGGGGCTGGCAGGTCTGCACACCGGAGCCTGAGTAGGGCTGGCGGGCCTGCACACCGGAGCCCGACTGGGGCTGGCGGGCCTGCACACCGGAGCCCGACTGGGGCTGGCGGGCCTGCACACCGGAGCCCGACTGGGGCTGGCGGGCCTGCACACCGGAGCCTGACTGGGGCTGGCGGGCCTGCACACCAGAGCCAGTCGTGCGCTGCAGCCATAGACTCAGCCAGCTGGAGGTGGGGATGGTGTTCTTACATTCATGTACTTACTGAGAGGAAGGGAACAGAGCATGTGTGTGAAGGTCAGGACTGTTAGCAGGAGTTGTTTCTCTCCTTTTACATGTGGATTCTGAGAATGAAATTCAGGCCATCAAGCTTGGTGGGATATACCTTTAGTCATGGAGACCATAGCTAGGTTTTTTGGTGTTTTTTTTCTTTTTTCTTTCTTTTTCTTTTTTCTTCTTCAGGTTTAGCATCTGCATGTAATGCCATTCATAGACTTTCATCACTAAAGGATACACAGCTATTTTCCCAGCATTTTCCCGGCATTAGGTAGTATGTCATCTTGACATGGCTGTGTACAGGAGCTGTGAGTAGGTTATGTGAAAGTACTGTACCATTTCATACAAAGATCCAGAGCATCTGTGGATTTTGGTGGTGGTAGGGGCTTAGGAAGACACAGTCTTCTGCTTGTGTGTTAATCTCTGACACTTCTGGAGCTAAGCTACAGATAATTTTCTAAGCCAGTCCCTGTGGGGATCAGTTCCCTAGCGCCTTGCTTGTGCTTACGATTTTTCCTTGAGTTTCTCTGAGAATCATTCCTGTAGGTGGGTTGAGTGACTGATTAGCCCCTTTTCTGTTGCTCTGACAAAATACTACCACTAAAAGCAAGATAGAGGATTTGCATATTGAAAGTTTGGAGAAATTTTGTAAAAAATACTAATTTTAGTCTGATTAACCCAGGGGGCTTCAGACATTTTCTGTTACAGAAATCCCCCAGAGTTCATGCTTTGGAGGGACCGCTTTCTGTTCTGGTGTATACATCTCGTGCCTTGCGTCTCTGAGCTTCCCTTACTCGGTGTGGTGTGGTTGCCATCTGCCCTTAGTCCCTTTTCTGATTGCTGTAACAAAAAACAAGAGGTTTATTTTGGTTCATAGTGTCACAGGATGGCTGTCTATCTTAGTGGGGCAAGCATGGTCATGCAGTAGGGTATATGTGGTGATGGCTTCTCCATGTCAAGAAACCATGAAGTAGGGCCCAGCCAGACTCAAATCCTTAGCAACCTACTTCTTCCATCCAGCCTCCACCTCCTTGCATCCCAAAATAACCTCACCAACTGGGGAGCAAGTGCTCAGAGCATCAGTGTGTGGGGACCTCTGGATCTAAACTCTCATACGTCCATCCACTGCTCTTGATAGGATCCTGTTTTGTTCTCGGGTTCCCTCCGCATGAACCTGGACCCTTTCAGTAAGTATTCTGATGAAGAAGTCTGGATGGCTCTGGAGCTTGCTCACCTGAAGGGCTTTGTGTCAGCCTTGCCTGACAAGCTGAACCATGAGTGTGCAGAAGGTGGAGAGAACCTGAGGTAAGTGGGCAAGCATGAACTGTGTGTGGAAAGATTCTACCCACTTGCCTCTGTGCTAACTTCAGTTACCCTCATCAGGGAAACCAGCTCTCACATCCTGCTTCAGTGCTAGGGTGGTCAGCCAGTGGCTGTGTTGCTGGTCTTGGCTGGGGCAGGGTTGGGGGTGCAGCTGACCATTGGCTGATCTATTCGTCCTCAGTGGGATCAATGCATATGCTTTTTATCCTCTAACAGACTGGCCCAAGCATGTTGTCACGGTGATGGCAGATGTGTAAGAATGAACATTCTCAGTGTCCAATCCCATGTCAAGCTTCTACTGGCCATTCATTGGCCAACATCCCTTTGGCTAAGGCCAGGCACATAGCTGATTCCAGCCGGTGCTAAGGCCTCTGCAGCTCAGTGAGATGGTAGATACCGAGTCCCCTTTGCTGTCTTTGTCACCCACACTGAACTGGGCTGATACTTTGAATGTCACTTTTGAGCCTTTTGTTGGGAATGATCCTAAGCCCGTTTCCTGCTCACCAGGAAATAACCAGGTATAGCATGATTGATCAGTAATATCTATCATATGTATGGATATGGGGCGTGGCCTTGCTCTTCTGCCCAAAGCCAACCCTGAGACTGTCTGCTAGCCTTCTCCCCCATCCCCGGAGCCTGGTTCAGGATCAGGTTAGTTTGAACCGCTCTCTGGGTTTGTCTCTCCTCCTAGCGTGGGGCAGCGACAGCTTGTGTGCCTGGCCCGTGCTCTGCTGAGGAAAACAAAGATTTTAGTGTTGGACGAGGCTACAGCAGCTGTGGACCTCGAGACCGATGACCTCATTCAGTCCACCATCCGGACGCAGTTTGAAGACTGTACTGTGCTTACTATTGCTCACCGGCTTAATACCATAATGGACTATACGAGGTGAGGCCCAGAGTGGACCTGTGTGGGCCTGCAGGGTTAATCCTGTTCACATTCATTCATTAATTTATCCATCCATCCATCACCGTTCTTAGGCTCAGGAGCAGCCTCAATGGGTGGGACTCTTCTGCCATGGGAAAAGCAGGCTATCAAATGTATTTATATGCATGAGGTACCAGATATGTGCTTGATATTATTCTGGACTCTCGGGTCTCCTGTCAAACAAGGCATAGGGACCATCTTAAGGACCAGGACACTTAAGAGAGAGGGACAATGATCACAGCAACAAATACTGATTTCAGAGGGAGACATGTGTTAGGTACAAGTGATAACAAAGAGGCGGGAGGGAAAGCAGGTACCAGGCTGACCCCATCTCTCCAGCCCCTAGAGTTTATAATACTTCTTGCAACCCACAGCTAGTCAGGTGCATCTCCTTGCATAATGCTAACATCTGCATCCCTCCCCATACAGGGTGATTGTCCTGGACAAAGGAGAAGTTCGGGAGTGTGGTGCACCCTCTGAGCTCCTGCAGCAAAGAGGCATCTTCTATAGCATGGCCAAGGATGCTGGCTTGGTGTGAGCTGGTCTCTGGCATATCCAATGAGGACTGCAGGGCCAGGATCCCAGGATCCAGGCATGAGCCAGCAACCCTGGAAACCTATGCTTCCCAGACAAAAACCAAAAATTAAAAAGAAAGCCAAACTAAAAGGAAGCAAAACACATAAAGCATCAGTCACCATTTGGCCCCGTCCTGGATCTGACCTTGAAGAAGCCGGAAGACAGATGCACCCCACTTCAGATACACATCTGGCCTCTGGCGCCACTTGTGAGGCTCCCTGAAAGTCCACCCATGCTCCTGCTGTATCCCACAGCAAGGCCATGGGCAGCTAAACATACTCATGACCAAACACAAGCCACTGCCTCATGTCTCTTCACCCATATCCATGGATGCCAAGTCTTGTAGCCTCTCCTGGCCCTGACAGCTCTTCTGTCACCTACAGTCCTGTTGGTTACATAAGAGTGCATCTTGCCTTCAGGTCTTGCAGTTGAAAGCATGGGAACCAAAATGAACAAACAAAAAAGAGAGAAAGAAAACAAAAAAATCCTGTCCTTGTTACGTCAGTGACGTCCTTCCTGCCACCGTCTGGTCTTCACACGCTTTAGACAGCACAACCTGTGAAGGGATCTAGCCAGACAGGCATGGAAGGCAGCACTCTCTTCACAAGGACTTTACCCTGCCCTTGCTTTCTGTTTCTTTCTGTCCATAGCTGGAGAGGGCTCACTCCTCATATAGGATCCATGAATAGTTATAAGCAGCAAAAGTCAAAAGCAGGAGGGATGGTGCCCACAGGCAAGAATCTGGTATCAAAAACAGCCAGAGTCCCCTATAGGACAAGCAGAGAACTACTCACAAATATCAGTGATTGTCCCACCCCCATAACTTTTGAACATCATTTCTGGAAGAACGATAGTCCCAAGAATTTGATGTCTAGGGAGGAGATACTAGATTCAGGGAGCAGCCACGCCCAGCTGTACACTTGATCCTCAGTCTGAATACTTCAAAGTGGTTCTCTGCGTGTGGGGGCTACAGACCAAAGAGAGACCCCCATGGTTAGCAAGAACTTGATGCCAGCTGCAGTTCATACTTGCTATGAATTTTGGCTCTGATTTCAGTCCCAGAGAAGCATCCTTTTTCTTTAGGTGGCAATGTATGTATTTATTTTTTGTAAGTTAATACCATTATTTCACTTTAAAAGACCCAGATTTCTCCTGAGAGTCTTTTTGTAATGACACTGGAAATGTGACTATTTGAAAATAATTTGCAGTAAAGAAAAATATTTCATTTCTTTCTAAAAAACCACGTTGTTTTCTTTTGGGCACAAAGGTCTCCAGTCTCTACTGTGGAAGAACCAGGCTAGGACAGCTATGATACCTCGGCCATCAATAGTGGCAGTGCAGCAGTTAGTGCTTGCTCCTCTTAGAGGACTAAAGTTCAGTTCCTAGCACCTGCATTCAGTGTCTTACAACTGCTTATATCTCTAGCTCCAAGTGTCCAGTGCCCCTTTCTGGGCAAATTAAAAATAAAAAAGAGATGGGGGAGGCCAAGGTTAAGAGCTGCCTGGTGTCTGTCTGGCAGTGAGTCAGAATGGCAAAGTACAGAGATACCTGGGCTTGAGTCCTACTGTCATTTTTTGGACATGTGACCCTGGACAAAGCTATGTGCCTCAGTCACAAGTGTCTCAAATACTTTTTTGTAGTGGGTGGGGCTGATCTGTACTGACACTGCTTAAGATCTCGGGAAATGGGGCTGGTGAGATGGCTCAGTTGGTAAAGTGCTTGCCGTCTGTGCAGGGAAACCTGCATTCCAATCCTCAACATAAAAGCCAGGTAGCGTACAAGTCCCCGCACTGGAGAGGAAGCAGGAGCAACTTGGGGTTCTCTAGACAACCAGCCTAGCCAAGTCACTTATGCTCCAGTAAGAGCATACAGTAGGAGCTAGAGCAATGGCTCAGTGGTTAGGAATCCATGATGTACCTGGAGAGGACCCAGGTTCAGTCCCTTGCACTATTATTGGACAGCTCAGAATTATCTGTAACTTGAGTTTCTGGCCTCTAAGGTTACCTGCACTCATGTGCATATAAACAAACTTACATACACAAAACAAAATGAATCTTAAAAAAAAAGATAGGCTGAAGAGATGACTCAGTGGTTACAGTACTAGCTGTTCTTCCAGAGGACATGGGTTAAATTCCCAGCACCTACATAGCATACCTCCGAGGTAGCTCACAATTCATAAACATCTGTAACTCCAGTTTCTTCTGGTCTCTGCTAGCATCAGGTTGAACATTGGGCACAGACTCATGCAGACAAAATACACATAATTTTTTTTAAAGGTAGAGAAAAATACCAAGCTACAGGTGCACACAAAATGGACATAGCCTTGACAGTCTCCAAAGAGTTGGGCTCCTCTCCAGAGGAAAAACCAAACTCATCGTGTCCTTGCCACTGGGCCTCATTGTGGAAGATCAGAGAATGGATGACAAGCAGCCTCTCTTCCATTTCTAAAACTGGACGGGTCACTTGTGTCCCCTCACAGTCCATTGTCAAAGGAGGCAGGGGAGCATGCTGCTCAAAGGAAGTTTTCTCCATGTCCTCATCCTACTGCTCGAAGGTTTGCAGAGTGGGGAAGTGAGATTGGGTGCTGGCTTTCTGAGTTGGTCGAGGTGAGTATGGGTAGTAAAGAATGTCCCCCAGAGGGAGAAGTGACCTGTGTGGACCACACCCACACATGTATACTGCCATTGTTGTCCCTCACTGAAACCATCAGTCTGCCTTGGACAAAGTAGTGGGGTTAAGGATCCCTGACCTTAAGACTCAGCACCATCTGGGCCCTGTTGACCTGACCTGAACCTTACATGCAGGATGTGCTTCTGAGCCTCAATCCCAGGCCAGATCTTCAACAGTCTTCAGTGCTCACTGAGGGAAGAGCTGGGATAGGGCACTGGGTTCTGGGGTCAAGTTTTATCTGCTCAGTGAAGATCTGCTAGAACAATCAAATTCTCAGATCAAGACTTCAGAGCACAGGAAAAAAGGGAGGTCCTGGGCTCTCCCAATGCCTGCCCTTAGCTATCCCACCCAGCCACACTGCCTCCTGCCCAGCATCGATACTGACTCCATGGATACATGAGTCGATGTAATTGCTGTCACATCCTCCTGTGTCCTCTCCCAGGTCCTGTTCAAACTGACTGGTTCACGGGCCTCTACTGTGGTCTTTTCCAGGCCCAGTGTAATCTAGAGCACCTCCTGCAGCTCCCACACAGGCCCATTGCTACTAGGACCTCTTGAATGTGACATATCTAGGAACTGTAGATGCTGCCATGGTGCCATAGAGGTCAGTGCCTGGCCCCTGAGACCACTTACCAGAATGGTTCTATTATCTAATACTTCCTGACTCTGCTTCACCCAGTCAGTATGTATCAAGTGTCTTTGTTTTGCGCTGTGTAAAGTTCTGGAGGCACAGTAAACAAACCTATAATTTCTTAAGCAAATCTCTCAGTTCAAGAAGGAAAGGAAGCTTGCCCCTAGCCTCTGCTTTGAGGATTGAGTCTAGGATGGAAGTCAGGAAGTTGGATTGCTGAAAAGGTGGGCTGCTGGGCAGAGATTGGCATTAAAATTCTCTGGCCTCAGTTTTCTGTCAAAGGGATTTGGTGACTGTCAGTATATCCTTAGAGAAGTTGGAAGGAAGGGATGGTGCCTGCCTTGGGCTGAGTTGCCTGAATGGCTATGTTCCCTGCATTTACATTCAGGCCTGGCACACAGCTGTAGCTGTAGTGAGGAAGACAACTGTGGTGTAGCTGAGCCATCTTCAGTGCCAATCCAGGATGGGTGCCGTTCCCAGCACCACAGAAAAGAAAAAGGCATACAATGACATCTAGAGGCTGTGGCCTCCTGGGGCTGATTCCTGTTCCTGCCACCAGCTGAGCCCTGTAGCAGAAGAGCTTGGTTTGAGGGAATTAATGGCTAGTCACCTACTGACTTACCTGGGTTTCCCATGTGCCAGCCACTCTATGGCCCAGGCTGTATTCCTAGACCAATGTGAGGCTGGACTTACAGACATAGCAGCCTCTGCCTGAGTCGAAGCATTGGAGTGGTAGGCTGAGTACTGTGGTGCCCCATCTCTGCTGCTTCCAGAGCAGAGTTGACAACAGGATGACTGTACCTGGGTAGTGAGAAGCTCAAGAGCAAGTTTCCCTTGGTCACTGTTCAGTTTCCTCTTCTGCAGAACAAAGGCAGCCATGGTGATGAGGCTGACTCTTTGCCTCTGAATGAGCTCTTGACCTTACTCGCAAGAGGATCAGTCTGGGCTGAAGGGAAGCCCTAGAACCCTGTATCAGGGTGGGCCATCAGAGAAACCTCAGGATGGGTGGGGTAAAGCAGGTCCTGTGTCCTAGCAGCAGGTAGGAGTCCTTTCCTGATCCCAACATAGTAATTGCCCATGTATCACTGAGCAATGGATAGTACTAGGGCATATTAGACCAGTGACTGGATCCAGGGGATCATGGATGTATGTGGGAATTGCTTTGCCACAGTGACAGAGGTACATCTCTAAGTAGAACCCAGGATACTGCTCAACACACTTAGTATGTGTCTTAGTCAGGGTTTCTATTCCTGCACAAAACATCACGACCAAGAAGCAAGTTGGGGAGGAAAGGGTTTATTCAGCTTACACTTCCATGTTGCTGTTCATCACCAAAGGAAGTCAGGACTGGAACTCAAGCAGGTCAGGAACCAGGGGCTGACACACAGGCCCTGGAGGGATATTATTTACTGGCTTGCTTTCCCTGGCTTGCTCAGCTTGCTTTCTTGTAGAACCCAAGACTACCAGCCCAGGGATGGCACCACCCACAATGGGCCCTCCCCTCTTGATCACTAATTGAGAAAATGCCTTACAGCTGGATCTTGTGGAGGCATTTCCTCAGCTGAAGTGCCTTTCTCTGTGGTAACTCCAGCTTGCGTCAAGTTGACACACAAACCCAGCCAGTACAGTATGTGCAGGACCCCCAACCCTGGCCTACAGCTGACAGTGGCAGTGATGTTGTTAAATAACAGTAATGAATCGAGGTGGGTATAGTGGTACAAGCCTATTACCCCAGCACTCGAGATGCTGAGACAGGAGGAACTTGAGTTTGAGACCAGCCTGGGCAACACAGTGAGAGACTCACAATTTTACAAATTTAAATAGGTATAAAACTGAATCCTGAGCTGGGGATATAATGGAGTTGGTAGAGCCTAGCATGCCTAAAGCTTTGGGTTTGAGCCCCATCAACAAGACGTGGTGAAACAGGCCTGTGATACCTAAGCACTTGGGAGGTGGAGGTAGGAACATCAGAAAGTCAAGGCCATCCTCAACTACAAAGAGAATTTAGGGGCAGCCTGGGCTATGTGAAACCTTGTCTCATGGATTTACACAAGACACACCAGCAATAGAGGGAATGTAAGCATGCTCTGTATCAGTGTGCCACTTGAACTTGTCCTGGAGTTGGTCGTCCCTGAAACAAACATAGCGGAGGGTTGTGGGTTCTCTCTGTGTGGTTTCTTGAAAGTGCATGTGAAATCTACAATAACCTCGTGTATTAGTCTCAGAATTTATGGATAGTTTCTATGTAGTAAGGGAATTTGTTTATGATTTAGTTTGTAGTCCAACTCCCCAACAATGGTCAGCAGCAGCTGTGAATGGAAGTTCAAGGATCTAGCAGTTGCTCAGTCCCACAAGGCAAGCAGGCAAAGAGAGAGCCTTCTTTCTTCCAATGTCCTTATGTAGGTCTCCAGCAGAAGGTGTGGCCCAGATTAAGGGTGTGTACCAACACTCCTGTATCTGAGACTTGTTTTGTCCCAGGTGACTTTGAACTCAGAGATCTCATGGCCTTAGTCTCCTGGGATTATGGGCGTGTACTACCTTGCCTGGGCCTATGCTTTTCATAGCCACTGTGCCTCAAGATCAGGATCACACGTGAGCCTTCCAATTCTGGATTGTAGTTCATTCCAGATATAGTCAAGTTGACAGCCAGGAACAATCACCACACCTCAAAATAAGGGAGCTGATGAATGTGCACACCATTCAGGCTGAGTTCAGGGCATACAGCCTGATTGGCTTGGGGTGAGTGTGGACTGGAAGTAGACAGCTAGGGCTGAAAGTCACAGTTCACTTTGGTTGTAGGGTGAGCATGGTTTTGCAGGTCATGCTCAGGCCAATCTGGACATGCTGGGTCTTTCCAGGTTTGGTATTTCAATAATCTTTCACTTGGTCTGTCATCTTCCTCCCATAGAGGAATCTAGATTGGGCACCCTGTGACACAC